AGTTAGTGGCTTAGCTAACTCTAATGGAAAATTCCAATGATTTTTCAGATTTAAACTTCCTATATGTTTTTAATTTAAAAGGTTTAAACAAATTTGTTTAGTCTAACTGGTTATGTTTCTTTTCTTTTCTCAAAAAGATCACAAATCAAATCCTATCACTTATGTATTTTTTCTGTAAATAAGAAAATAATAAATGACTGTGAAGACGAATCTACCATTCCTACTTTTGCTATGGATGCAAGGTTTTTGTAATGGGGGAAGCACCTTTCCTATTTCACTCTTATATTAGGTGTAGCGAAAGTAACCCGGTGGTTGAGTGTTTAGTGGTTCGGACACTATTTGAGCTCGTTTACATTAGTAGCACATTTTTCATTTGCGTTGGGCAAACCAACAACACTCAATCTATCCATATTTACCCCTCCAAGAATTGCTCTAGCTTAATAATAGAGGTAGAGGATGTTAGCCGGTTGTTGAGTCTGATGAGAAGTTTGGAAAGACGGTGATGGTTGAGCGTTTAATGGGTTGGGGCACTATTTGGACCCGTTCACATTAGTAGTGTCTTTTCCATACGCGTTCGGCAAACCAACATCACTCAACCATTCCATATTTACCCCTCTTGAAGACACATGTGCCCCATATTCACTCAAAAGTTCTGTGTTTAAAAGTATCGTTACTTTATGATAGTTATAACAATTAAGTCTATGTTAAGAATTATACATCTCTTCTACACATTCAAGAGTGCAATTCAATATGCAATATTTGAATCAAAGACATTTTGGTTGCTAAGCGTGGTGGAAAACTCCTATATTTTTCCAGATTTAAGCTTCCTGTATGTTTTTAATTGAAAAAGATCACACAAATGTGTTTATTGTAACTGGTTATGTTTCTTATTTTTGTTCGAAGAGACCACAGTTCAAATCTTATTATTGATGTTATTTTTCTTGTAAATAAGAAAATAATAAGTGATTGTGAAGACGAATCTACTCTTCCTACTTTCACTCTGGATGCAAAAATTTTGAAATGGGACCTCAAGTTTTCTCATTCGGCTTTTATTTATTGTGTAAATGCATCATTTTCATTGATTCTTGGTAGGATAGACCGAACAATATATGTATTGGATTACAATTTGTCACTTCAAGTGAATTTGAGCTTAATATATTCGACTCCAACTGATTTGTGATCGAAACTGGGATAAGATACCCGCATACCACTTCATTTTTTAGAATGGGAGAAACTATACCACTTAATTTAAAATAAGAAGTCGGATACAAAAAATTGTTTTTTTTTTCCTCACCTCATCATTCATTTTGGACTCCATGCCGAGTCAGTTTTTCCAGTTCCCTCCTCTCTACAACTTCCCATTGCCTGGTTTCCAGGTGATCCCATCCCAAACTTCCCACCGGGATTCCATCTCCCTCCCCTCCGTTACTTCGCGGCTCCCGCCCTCCCTCTTGGGTGGCGGCTATCCTCCCCCCTCCGGCACCGGCGACTAACCTTTCCCTTTAGTAACGATACCTCACCTCACCTCACCTTCTCTCCAATTAGTAAATAAAACTAAGCCCAATCAGTTATGAATGAGAGCTTTCAAGCAAACGAAGAAGACTGTTCCTTCAGTTAATATATCGTTTAGTTTTTACCGTTTAAGTTACAAGTTAAGATGAAAAACCCCTCTCTTTAAGTTTCTTTCAATTGTTTGACTAGCACAAGACCTGACCCGTTGACCGGAAGAGTTTTATCGAGGAATATGATATATAATAATGGATATATAATAGATGATTTGAAATGCATAGAATGATTGTTTTCTACCTTAGTTATGCACATAACATATTTGAAAGTGATCAAACTATGCATAATTGTTTAGACCTCCATGAAAAGAGAAAAAAAATATAATATAATATAAGTATTACTTATAATTATTAATGAACAAAGAAATAAATATAACTAATTGTCATTCATTACTTAATTAAACCATATAGTTGAATATTAGAGTTGTTTTTCATAATAAATACATAATCAACCTTTAAGATGAAAGAAAATGTCTCTCATAGAGTTTAGTATGTACTTTAAGTTTTTTTCCAATAGAGAGCATTCTTTTTTACCACACTGTTGTTAATGAATCTGAAGTTGCTTGATTTGAAATATATAGGACATGATACTAAATTGTCGCTAATAGTTAGTTGGACAATATGTTGTGTATGGACTTCCCAAATTATTCTTAGATCGCATACATGTCTAGCAACAATGTAGTAATTTTCATGCAACAAATATTTTTTCATGAAATAATTCAATTAATAAAAACCTATGAAAATCATATTACATGAAATATATGTTACTCATTAAGTTGATGAATGAGCGAGAATATAAGTAACATACATTTATTTTAAAAATATTGAAGTTGCATAGTGTCTTTTGGATTGAATGAGATCACATATTCTCATTATCGCTAACTGACTTATGCTTTTTTGGAATAGATAGTTCAAAATGTGCCTTAAAACTTTTGTTACCACGTAAAAGAATTGCTTGAACCAAATGATTGTAATAGTATAAAAAAATTGGTAGTATAGTATTTTATACTGAAATCATTATTTAACGGTTCAATTGTTTCATATTGCTAAATATCACGTATCGATTTAGCCTATGGTGTGAAGTTGTATGGTCGAACCGCCAGTACGTACGATCTTTCAATTCAAACTTTAATTAAAAAGCACTAAAATATTGATATTACCAAATACCCTTAAATCTCAAAAATTACCATAAAATCATCCAAATGATATTATTGATTTAGGATGTTAAGGGTCGTTTGGAAGTTGCGATTGTTAAATAGATGTTTTGTTGTGAATGCATGTATAATATTATATATGTATTGTCGGATTAGATGCATTGTGTATGTCGCATAAGCTAAAAGCTTAGACAAAATAATCTCAACTCAACTATCTCAACAATCACAACTACATTTTGAGTGATAGTTTCTGTCACATCACAGATGTAATCCATGTATCGTTTCTACCAAAAAATAAAAAATTATGCATTCTAAACAATACATTATAGTAACAATCTCAACAAAACAATCGCAACTTTCAAACGACCCATTAATTGAAATGAAAAAAAAAATCTATCAAATATAATGTCATCTCCTAAAATAAATCAAAATTTAAAAGGGCCAAGAATACCCACTAAGCAAAGCAGAAGGACAATTATTTCGTACTCCCTCTTTTAAATGTATCCTCTCACTCTCTCTTATGTCCCGTTCACTTGCCATTTTGTTCTCAGTTTTCTGGTGTTACAACAAAAATAAAAAAAATGATAAGAAACGTGTTCACTTGCAATTTCATTATCGTTGAAAAAAACCATGGAGAATAAAAGAGGCAGCTGACAGAAACAATAAAAGATCGTTTGTTGGAAAATGAGAGATGGATTTTCCCCTTTTCCCAACGGGTTATGCCTCCATTCCTTTTAATGAGCCCAGCGTTGGAATCCCTCGGCTACTTTTATTACTTTGTTCACTTAGACCAACGGTGTCATTTTGCTAACCCCATCTCTCATTGTTCTTCTCCTAGCTTCCCCCAAACTCGACCTCCCCATCGAACGAAGCTGTTACAATCCGCCTCTTCTTCCTCGAGCGGAGGGAGAGAAGATCGATCCAGAGATCTCCTTCTCCAATCAGCAAAGCTCCAGTCGGCGAGCTCCTTCTCCAGTCAGTGAACGATGTGTTTGCTTTGAGATGCCAGCAGGTATTACCCACCCATCGCCTAAGTTAATCATTCTCAAGGGCTTAGATCCTCGATGTCATATTAACATAGGTGTGGATTAGGCTGGATGAGACGGTGATGGCTACACTTTCCCAACAGGTCCTCGATTATCCTCTTTGTTTTTACGTATGTTCTTCCATTTCTCTATCTCTCTCTGAGCTTTGTATCTCACCACTCTCCCATTTTCCCTTCCTCTTTCTACCCACCGCCTAGAATCGAGAGAAACCTAGAAACATCCCAATTACTTCTCCAATTTTGCGTTCGAAATGCTTCTTCTCAATTCACAGTCGATAGTGTGAATCAAAGGACCTGAAACCTGGCGAACAGATGACCGCTTATTCCTCTCAAATGGCGCATTTCTCAAAAAATCATGAGTTCACCAATCTGGACTATGTGGTGTTCGCAATTGTGCGCGAGCTCTTGAAGTTTAAGTCTAGTACGACCCAAGAAGCATTCATGCTTGTATAAGGGCCGATCCATATACATTGTTTTCATGGTATGCTCTATCTGTGTCATGCTAGCTCGACATGTGCTTGAGTATAGTTATATGCATTATAATAATTAAGTTTTTAGCTATTCGCAACACCAAGATAAAAACACAGTCATAAATGCACCCAGTATTTTATTTTGACTACTTGATAAAATACTACATTTGAACCAACTACCACTGATGCCACAAATAATAAGTATATCTCTAAATCATACATAAAATATTTCAAACATCACAAATATTAAGATTAAATTAATTATTATAAAGAGTAAAAATTGTATAATGAGATTAACTATAACTCATTTATATGTTCATGTCCTTAAATTGGTCAACACATCCAAAAATGGATAAATGAACATCACATTAAATCCAATGTCGTCTCATTATTGTCGGGTCCATTCATGTCAGATTAGCAAGAGGTTTAATGTTTAGCAATTAACCAGGCTAAAATTTTAGAGAACCAATCAACTATAGTTTGTACAAAATATTTTTGTTTCGTAGTAGTTCTGAAAATTTATATTAATTTAAAGAATTCTACATCTCTTTTGCATATTTAATACTGCAATTCGATATGCAATATTTTAAGCATTGAAGTTTGTGTTGCAATTTTAAGATTACCCGTCATTTTTTAGGTTATAAAAAATTATAAATCACATATCAAACTTTGGTTTTCAGAAGACTTAATAGGCTAGCTAACTGTGATGGAAAATTCCTCTGCTTTTCAAATCTTCGCTAAGTGTATGCTTATCAAAATGCAGTCCTGGAAGTCTTTAACTCTATTGGCGTTGAATGACGCTCCTCCAGATTTCTCAGACACGTGCAGAATAGAGTTGAAATCACCCCCAAGAAGTCAGGGTCTTGAAATTGATTCAATTGAAGAAGATAAATCAAATTATTATATCTTATAGAAAGTGTTGTAAAAAAAAAAATCTTATAGAAAGTAATTAATTGTGAAATCGAAACTCAAGTAACATTGATTCAAACATTAAATATTAAATTGTATGCGTGGTACAGTTTAGATAAAATACATATGTATAGCCAAAATATGGGTCTTCATGACATATATAGTCATTTTTTGTGACAAATCTACCCATAATATAAATGCAGCGGTGGACTGGTTTTGGCGCCAACGGCAGCGGCGGTTGACGGAGGCGAGACGGCGAGACGAAGGAATCGATGATGTCGAGCTTGGTTTGGGCCGCTGACTCTGATGCGTCGGAGATTGATGGCCCGAGGGCGCTGATGACGGCGGCGGCGAGAACTGGATCTGGAGTGCAGCCGGAACTGATGGTAACCGCAGTAGTGGTCGAGAGAGAAGACGGGACGCGGTGATTGCGCTGTGGATCTAGATCTGGATCAGCGGCTGGCGACGATGATTATTTCCGGCATGGCGATGAATCTCTCGCAACCGGAGAGGGGAGCAGAGACCAAGAGCGAATGAGGATTGGGCGACGGCAGTCGCTACTCTGACCACTTGATGGGACTCCGGTGTCCGGTGACCGGGACGATGTAGGCGTCAATTCTTCTCCTTCGATGGTGGCGGTAACTGATAGCGCCGGAGGCGGAGATGACCGCGACGAACTAAAAACGAGGTCAATGGCGATGGTGGCAATGACATCGATGCCTGGTTGAACTGGCAAACAGAGAAGTCAGCGAACTGGCGAATAGCCAGCTGAGGAAACGCACCAGCTACGGCATGACGATGCGGACTAGTTGAATGACGGAGATGCGGAAGCATGAGTTGGGATGGACAGCCTGGTGAATGTTCACTCATGGCTGGAAATGAAGAAAGAAATAATGCAAGGCAGAATCCACACTGGATTCAGAATCCAGCTCTGATACCATGATGAATTTGGCAGAATCTCAACAGATTCGTTTCTTCCTTTTCTTTTTCTTTGGCCTTCCCACACTGGATTCAGAATCCAGCTCTGATACCATGATGAATTTGATTGAAGCAAACTTTGAGTATTGTTATTAATTGAATGCTTGAATGTTACAGAAGGTTTACTACTCTATTTATACAGAAGGAAAGACTCACATATGAGCTTCTTGGTTTGTGAGAAAGACATAAGAAAGATTATCTCTTTATCTAGTAATAACCAGGAATGGTGCTTCTGATGAAAGTGTGATAATTGTAAATAGAGTTGTTGGTGGTTGCTGCAGGCTATTTATGAGGTGTTGCAAGTTGTTGTTGTGGCAGACTATTGATGGAGCAACATGGCATGTTGCTGGAATGGTCATCATCTTCAACAACACTGGTGCTCACCTCCGTTTTCCCTCTCTCTTCGCTCATCTTCCCATACTGCTCAGTGAAGCCGCCTGCTGGCTTCGTGAGGTGTCGATGCCCTCTCGTCCAGTCTTGGAAATTTGGGAATCGAATATAGGGGGCGAATTTCAATTTCGTTGTCTTCTTCTAAAGAAGCTTCTTCTCATGGTGTCTGAGAGCTCTATCTATGGCAGCAGAGACCAGATCATCTGACATCTCACCATGTCCTAATTTCTCTCTTTCTTCTTCGGGCCATCAGGGGAATTCGAATCGCCGCCGCCTCCTTAACCCATCTCCGCCTTCCTCGAACATCATCTATCATCTCATCATCTGGGAAAATCAAATCCCATCGTCGCCGACCTTGCCACGACTGTCGGTGCTACGAAAAGGGGAGAATCTAGCGAGGGGCAGAGCTTGGACGAGTAGGGGACCAAGCCCCACAGCCACAACACACCGACCTCGATGTGGATCTTCAAGAAGAAGCCTATTCCGTCGCCTTCTCTAGTCAAGCCGGATTTGGGAGAATCGTCGCTTTTCCCTAGCGATTTCAGATTCGGTGACGGAAAGAAACTCTAGGACAGGCGTCGCCCAAATCCAACGGAGGTCGGAGTAATGGATGGGTGCGGGGAGTTGACGGAGGAACAAGGGATCTTGAAGAGAGAGGGTTTGGTTGTTGTTTTTTATTTTATTTTGTTAAATTAATTATTATATGAATTAATAAATATTCACATGGCATAGTCAAATGGTTGACTCTTTGCCACATCACCCTAAAACTGCAACATCAGAGTCAACTGACGGTCAACTGGATGGAAAGTTAACAATTTGCCTATTATTATTATTTTTGAAAGGTTTGACTATTATTTTGTTTAAAATGTAAGGTTTGACTATTATATTATATTTACCCTTAAAAAAATGGACGGAAGCCCAATTTGAAGATATAAATGGTACTTGCCACAATCTCAAAGTTAAGTGGCATCAAAGATATTTTACCCACTGGAACTACTATGGGTAGGGGTGGAAATCGGTAGGGTATCGGTATCCCAATACCAAATACCGAAATTCCGAATACACGCTAGCTTATATTTCGGTATTGATCGGTATTTCGGTATATACCGATCTCAAACCCGTAATTCCTAATACCGAATTACAATTGACATTCAATCTCAATTCCAATCCCAAAAAATAATACGTATATTCAGTAATACAATGGTATAGACAATTTCAATACGATATTCGGTATATCTCAAATACCGGTACCTAACTCCCAGCCTTAACTATGGGCTTTGGCAAAGCAGCCCACTTTAGACACTTGGGCAGTTGGGCTGTGTACATTACCTGTGAGCTGTAACTTGTAAATTGTGAGGAAGTAGAGCTGACTAACAAGTATGATAAAAGTCAACTAAATCATTAGAACTGAGGTGACAAAAGAGAAAGAAGATGGTCATTTCCTTTGGCAGTCAATTGGGTTTCCAAGAAAAAGAAAAATAAGGCAGCCTCCATAATAAGTCCATATTAAAGAGCCAAACATGTCATCCAGACAAGACACATAGCTTCTGATACATATACAACAAAGGACGGCAATAGAACTTTGGTTTGAATCTCAGGTGGATCAAGCTTGCTTGCAGAGTTCAGACCACTCCTGCAACGTCGGAGTAGCAACTCCGATATTTTTCATGTCGAAAACATTAGCTGCGCTCAGAAGCATAGCAATCGAGTCAGCAGTGAGGAACTATATGAAGGCACTGAGCAAAACTAAGTTGATTACGAAAGAGAAGAGGTTACGAGTGATCATCCCAAGGTCATGACAATCTGTAATTTCGTATACCTTGATGTATATCAGGGGTAGCAGCTGCTGTAGCATCTAAGATGACGGAAACCGATGGATAATCCAGTGCAACAGCATCAAATACAGTTTGCCTGATGCAATTTGGAGTTTGAACACCTGGAAATGTTTGCACTTTCACGCATCAAAACAAGCCCAGTAAGCTATCCAGTTCTAATGCTCATACAGTATGGATAGCATATATTAGCATACCTATAACCACTAGATCCTGGATTCCCTCGGTCTTCAGAAACGAATGAAGATGCGTGGCAAAGAATGCACTAAACCTTGTCTTGACAACCTTGTAGTCTCCTTCTTTCATCACAAGGCCATCAACCAGTTCTGCACCTGCACTTCCCTTACTGCTTGGGCCTACTTTTTCTTTCGAGTACAAATGCCGGCGAAAAACTTCAACATCTCTACCTAGTGGGTCATGCTCTCGAACCACCTGTATCCAAAGAGTAGAGAAATGCATCTAACAAAATAACCCCATGGAGAATCAACGCCCTACATTCAGCAAAGGACAACATGCTCTCAAACCACCTAAATCCAAAGAGTCGAGAAATGCATCTAACAAAAGGGTTGGAGAATCACTGCCCTACGTTTAGCTATGACCCTTTGTCCTTTGCCTTAATGAAATACTCATCCCTGCTATAGTCAAGCATCAAGACAGAGAAAGGTAAAGGTCCTAAATTATCCGAGCTCCTGTTTCACATCAACAAAACAACACCATATTCATCATTGGCGGAGCCAGAAATTTGAATGAGGGAGGGCTGCCTTGTACTGTAATAATTGGTAGAAGGGAGAGCTAAGGCCTTACCTAATACTATGTTCTAAATTTGTTACGAATTTACATGTAATTTAACCTATATTTCAAATTTGAGAGAGGCTATAGCCCCTCCTAACTTCAACCTAACTCCTCCACTGATATTCACATTCCTCCCCAAAAGTCAAAACACCATTTTCCACCATTAGTATTCCAAGTAAAGGTATAATGAACCATGGCCATTCATTCCCCCGACATATTTATAGCCTCGCAAATCACAAATCAGGCAGAAACTAAATGGCTTAAAATACCCTAAAAGCTTCTCAATTCTGTTCATCTGTAAGGTAAACTTTTCCAAGATGCTCACTTTCCAGGAAACGAACAGGAACCCACGAAGAAGAACATCATAGCTAAATTGAGTATAGGAGAGAGTGAAAGGAAATTTAATTTACCCAAACAACAAGGATGCCACGCTGCCGAGCAATTTCAACTGCCTTGAGTACGTTCGGCACAATAGCTTTCCCTGCGGCAACTCTCGTCGGCGAATCATCCAGGATAAAATCATTCTACAAAATCCCACAAAGACAGATTAAAGCTGAAGTTCTGAGTACGTTTATGAAGTAATTTGGAGGTTTGAGAGAGAAACCTGCATGTCAATCACCAAGAGAGCAGTATGGTTCCATTTCGCAGCCATTTTTCAGCTTAAGGGGGCAACTCTCAGACTATCCACAATAGTGGAAGGGAAAAAAGGAAAAAATATGAGAAAAGTGGGAACAAAGGATGGGAGAAGGATAATGACCACAATAAGTGGTGGAGAAAAAAGGTATTGGGGAGAGTATTTTTTTTTTTCAAAATTAATTTAGAGTTGATATGGTAATTTTATTTTGATAATTTTTTTTTTATATAAGCAGTATTAATTAATTAAGACGAACATTTCGATATAATTTTTTTTTAATTTGGACATAAATTTTTTTATCACTAATTATATGTGACTTCATCAATGACGAATCGTAATAATTTGCAGAAAACCATGACTCATCACATGTTTCACAAATTGAGTGGTTTCATCAATTTTTTGACCATCTATCTTCCTTCTTTTAACTTCTTGCGTAGGGGAAACTCTCCTCTTCTTTCCTCTTTATCCTTTTTTTTTTCTCCATAAAACCCACCCTTATTGTGAGCCATCTCCCCCTTTTTCCCCTTTTATCCTTTTTTTCCCTTCTTGTTGTGGACAGTCTCACGGATTAAAGCTGCCGAGTGCTCTGCTTTGGGTTCTTTTTTTTAGGACCACTGAAGGCTATTTTAGAATTTTTCTGGTAGGCCTAAAGTCCATCAGAAACGTCATTTCCCCAAATGAGGATACAGGGGGTGGGATTCGAAGACAAAATCCGGACTCTGGGCCCAATGTGCCAGGTAATGAGCTACAGAATTACACCCTATAGATGCGAACCTCCAGGGCCACCCAAGGAGCAACTCATTCTCAAGGCTATCCAAATTGTTCAACACCCAATAGAGGAGTTCCCGTCCCTAATCTGGACAGATTAGGGATGGGTCATTTGTTGACGGATGGGTCAGAGGGTCTTTCGGGTTAACCTTTCACCCCTAGTTCAAGGTGTGTGTAGCTGAACTATTGGAATCACTCATAAGCAGAATAGCATCTCTAGAGTTTGCAACTAAGTTGAACCCAAAGGAGGAAGTGTAACACCTCACCCTAAAACTCATGGGTCAAATCAATGGTTCAACCGTGCAGTGAAATCATTAGGAGCTTACGCTAATCTCAACTCTTTTATCACTGGTAATACATATCAGCATCATGTTAATCCAACATCCACAACAATCATTTATCAATTTACTCATCATATACCAAAGGCAAACTCGATCTAGTACATTCATTCCACTTAAAGCAAATCAGAGTGGCATCCATTATTATGCTCAATACGAAATCATTTACTATGCAAACCAAATCAACAATCCGTAAAACATAAACGGAAATCAATTTCAAATTCGAGAAACCTTCAAAACCAATCCTCCATCGATCATTGTGCAGTGCTACAGTTTCGATCAATTCCTTCGAACCTGTAAGAAACTGAATAGACGTTGGTCAGCTACTAAGCTGTTGCGTGGACCTCCCACAACCTAATTATTAGGACCATAATAAGTGTTGGGTATATGACTCGGATCTCGCCGCGCCAAGGAAGCACCCCGTCACCGCCGTCAGAAGAGTCGGGCGCGTTAGCACCGACGCAACCAAGGAGTCACACCAGCGCCACAACCAGGAGAGTCGGGCGCGTTAGCACCGACGCAACCGAAGCAACACCCCGAACACCAAACGACGACGTTTGAGTCTAGCGTTGACCAAATCAGCAAACTGTGGAAACGATGCCGCGTCCCCCCGATGAGTGGTCACCATCATAGTCCTAGGTATAATAATAGACTAAATGTACTCGTAGACTAAATGTACTTGTCCTAGGTAGAGGTATGGTCTAGACCTCTGACATGTCAGTAGTCATGTCACCATGTAACTCACCCACCACCATGTAGCCTATAAATATGGCAATTACTCTGGTGGGTGAGGAGATCGGATTTTTCAGACTCTATCTCTAGAAACAACCAACTTCTCTCTCTAAAAGACAGCTCTCTTAATCTCATTTCTCCCTTCCTTTGTTCTTGAATTTACGGCCGATTCTCATTGCTTACTCTTCTCGACCCATCTTCCCGAACCTCACTCCTACGCTCAATTAGGTTCAAACCAAGCGCGAATGCGCAATAGAATGTGCGGCGGCCGAGGTACCGACAAAGTGCAACCTGAGCTTCGACGACGCTGAGTTCCCACAAGGGGTCCCATCAGAAGACCCACTCACCATCACCGCGCTGGTAGCCTCCTGCAAAATGCACCGCCTACTGATAGACGGGGGCAGCGCGACGGACATCCTTTTCAAGAGCACTGTCGATCAAATGGACATCAATCCACAACTAATCAAGTGCGCTCAGGGGAACTTGCTCGACTTCTCCGGAACAAGGGTCCCAGTCATTGGCGTAGTCACTCTCCCAGTTGTAATCGGAGACCAAGAGCCACGCGTCTTGAAGCAAGTCGAATTCACAATAGTCGACTGCAACTCGCCTCACAACGGTATCTTTGGCCGACCTTTCCTAGCCAAATTCATTGCTCTCCCGTCAACATGCCACCAGAAGCTTAAATTTCCCACCAAGGCAGGGACCAGAGAAGCGCGCGGGACGCCATGGGAGGTCCCGAAGCTAGAAGGAGGGGCCTGCTAGACCAACATCGTTGACGCGAGGGCAGAGGAACCTCGCCCAGAATCGATGGACTCCGATTTTGAAGTTGCGCTTGATCCAACCGAGCCGACGAGAAAAATACGCATCTCGACTCATGTCCTCAGTGACGCGATTGAGCCGCTGATAGCGCTGCTGGAGGAGTACAAAGAGTTGTTTGCCTGGTGCACAGAAGACATGCCGGGAGTTCCGAGGCAAGTCGCCCAACATTGCCTTGCGGTTCCAGTCAACGCGGAACCAAGGCAACAAGCGCGACGAAGTTTCACAGGCGACAAACTGAAGGCCATTGAGGAAGAGGTCGCGCGACTATTAGCTGCAGGATTGATCTGTCCAGTGGAATACCCGAAGTGGTTGGCAAATGTGGTTTTGGTGATAAAATCCTCAGGGGCCTGGCGAATGTGCGTCGACTATACAATGATCAACAAGGTGTGCCCGGAAGACCCTTACCCATTGCCGCGCATCGACCAACTGATCGACGCCACCGCTGACCATGAAACACTGTCTTTTTTAGACATGTTCTCATGATACAACCAAGGAGTCACACCAGCGCCACAACTAGGAGAGTCGGGCGAGTTAGCACCGACGCGACCGAAGCCACACCCTGAACACCGAACGACGACGTTTGAGTCTAGCGTTGACCAAATCAGCAAACCGTGGAAACGACGTTGCGTCCCCGCGATGAGTGGTCACCATCATAGTCCTAGGTATAATAATAGACTAAATGTACTCGTAGACTAAATGTACTTGTCCTAGGTAGAGGTATGGTCTAGACCTCTGACATGTCAGTAGTCATGTCACCATGTAACTCACCCACCACCATGTAGCCTATAAATATGGCATTTACTCTGGTGGGTGAGGAGATCGGATTTTTCAGACTCTATCTCTAGAAACAACCAACTTCTCTCTCTAAAAGACAGCTCTCTTAATCTCATTTCTCCCTTCCTTTGTTCTTGAATTTACGGCCGATTCTCATTGCTTACTCTTCTCGACCCATCTTCCCGAACCTCACTCCTACACTCAGTTAGGTTCAAACAATAAGCTAATCACATAGTCATATGTAATCGCAATTCAATAGTCTAGATGTCATCCTAGATCATCATATATATATGAGATCAATCAACATACCAAATCCATCAACTCATACTCAATGAACCAATTTATCCAAAATGATAATCACATAGTTTATTCAACGAAAAAAATAATCACATAGTTTCACGAACATACAATCAATGCATGATATGAAAATTCTGATTAATTATTAATGGGCACCAAGGTCACCATACAAATACCCCCACTCGAGCAAATCATCATCCGTGGTTTTCATGCAACCTCAACAATCAATCGCAGAAGTGAGTTAAATCTACATAATCCCAAGGGTTGGAGGTAAGTGCAAGCCCTCTATATGTCTATATGATTTAATATGATCACAAATCAAACAATTCTCATTTCTCTCATCCATCACAAACGATCCGGAATCAATGTAGTCTAACTAATTAACAAGTCATGCAACAATCAATCCGAAATTAATGCAGTCCCACTGATTAATCGGTCCATGCATATCTCACATCAAACATTTGACCAAACCATTTAAGGAATCAATGTCTTCCCATTGAGTTCCAGTTCAAATGAATCTCATATTACTCATCTCATCATCATCTCAATCAATCTAGGAATCACTGCCTTCCCATTGGGTTCCCAATTCAAATGAATCTAGTGTCATTCATCTCATCGTCATCATCATTCTTAACCTCAAATTCATATTACGATGGTTATTTATCAATCATCCATCTCCAATCCATCTCAAGATTCCAATCACCATTTTCAATCAGTACAATTCACGTCAATTCATTCATACCATCATTTGTCAATATTCATACAATTTCATATTATCAATTATCACTCAAACATTAATATCATCCAAATTCACGTAGTCAACAACGATTGCCAATCGTTCATTCAACAACTAATCACAGTTCATCATCTTATTAATCGTTACTATATAACTTGTATATTACATTTCACATTAATTCCAAATCATAGTTCAACACCCAAAATCCACCATACAGTTTTCCAAAAATAACCCCCATGTAATTTACCGAGATAAACTTGTTTTGGGGTCAAAACATTATCATCTCTAAACTCAATTTCATCCATCAAAATTAATCATAAAATTCATGAAGGTGAATTTATTAAGAAAAAATTCAATTAAATCCATCTCTTGTCACAAAAATCAGTTCACCTAATACTACTATAAAAATCTCATATTAACCTTAGTTTTATGGATACTTAAATTCTGACAAATCGATAACTCCATAAATTCACCAAAAATACCTAAATACTCATTTTTCATCCTAGAACAGTTCCGACTATAATATACCATTTTGATAGCTCAAAACCATGAGAAAAGAATTATAATTGGTTTTTACCAAGAATCGCGTATTAATCTCATTTTCACCATTTTAAGGATAAAACTCAACTAACTATCCAATACTTCGTTTAAACACACAAAAATTTAACAAGACAAATTATCCATTTTATAATCACCATAATCATAAAAGATGATTAAAACACTTTTTTACCGATCTT